GAATAAAGGTGAGGTTTTCAAACATAAGAACACTGTACCAGCTGTCAAGCAAGGTGGTAGTAGCATCATGCTCTGCAGCTGATATGTTACACAAAGCGGATGGGTTAATGAAAAAGGAGGACTACCTCCAACAGCTAGATGGTAAACACAACTGACAACTGGGTGTGCCAACAAAGCACTGATTCCAAACACATGTCAAAACTGGTTTTGGAATGGATAAAGCAGGCTAACATTAAGCTTCTGGAATGGTCTTCCAAAGTCAAACTTAATAAGAATTTGTGTACCATGTCAGAAAACCAAGCAATTTAAATCAACTCTACTAATTCTGCTAAGAGTGGTCAAATATACAGCCAGAATTATGCCAGAAGCTTATTAATGGCTACCAAAAGCAACTGGTCAAGATTCAACTGACTAAGGAGCATTGAAACAAATGCTGTGTGTGTGTACACTTTTGACCCAGTAAATTAGAGAAAATACAAAACAATAAAAAACAAACAAACAAACAGCAATCCTTGTTTTTTAAAGTCATTAAAGATGTATGCAGTGAAATGATTCCATCCTGGAAAAAGAACACTTCAAAGAAATAATTAAGTTCAGAATGACCATGACCTTCATGCCCATAATGGGTGTATATAAACTTCTGACCACAATTATATGCCAAACATGAGAAAACAGCACACGATAAAGACCAATAATAAGTTTTGTTTCGCCCTTAATAATGAGTCTGAACCTGCCTTCTTATATAGAGCACTCGGGTAGAGTCATATTAACATACAAGTGTTCTCACCTGCGATCTCTTCAATGCAGTCAGCATGCATGTCAAGCAATACGCTGCCGTTGATAATGCAACTGCGCAGCTCAAATAGACTGTGGAGGGAAAGCGTAGCAACGTAAGGCTTGCTCCACCTTTCTCCACCATCCTCCACATCTTCCTCAAACTTCAGCCATCTGCAGCATAAAGAGATGTTATTTAGTAACTTGCAAGTTGGAGCACATGTGAAGTATTATTATTATGATTTTTTCCTTCTGTTTAATTCGCTATATTGATTACAAAGGCTACCATACAAAGGCTTAATAAAAAGGCTATTTTTATAAAACTTAAGAATATAATTTCAATCTTATAAATTGACAACGTGTCATTTAAATGACAACAGCTGAGACAAAACAAGCTGTTACTGTAGATAAAGAATAACATGTAAAGAAATGTTTGCTTTAGCAAAAGCTTCTTTTCAGCTACCATTAAAAAAACAAACAGCATTTCTATCACTTCTTCTTCATTTTTGCATTTTTTAGAAGGTCAATAGTATAATTTATTCCTAAGCATATCTACTGTCAGTTTTCTACAATAGTCCCCACTTGGTACATTTGCTGTACATCGTCTCCCAGCAGATAAAATGTTCCTCACCTGATTAGTGCTTTTGAACAAAGCATTAACCTGACTCCTGCAGTAGCTCTGCAATCAGAGCTTGATAGTAAAGGGCACCGTTAGCCCATTGTTCAGTCTCCTCTGGCTTTTTGGTCTCATTCTGGTTGCAGAACTTCAATGTATTTGGGCTGTTTAGGGCTGTTAGAGCATATATAGTATCGCTCTTTTCTCATTAATATCTGAGCCAGATAATGTGGGTTCAGTGTACAGTGTAATTTATTTTATAACTGTTTTTTAGTTTTATGATTGCAGACATTAGAAATATTTAAATAAAGTATTAATTAAAATAAAAATAATATGATAAATGTTTTATTATTGTGTTTATTTATTTGCATTTATTTATTTTTAATGCTTTAATTCTATAGGTGTTGTTTGGGCTTTAATCTTTCTGTTGTTGAAGCTCCAGTTTTATTCTTGAGTTATTAATTTGTCAAAAAAGACACAATATGGAAAATCCGTCACGTTGTGTCATTGTTGTTTTTTTTTTGCTTCCAATTTCCTTGTTACTGCTCCACTGCTACATGATATTATACTGATTTTCTGTTTCCAAAATATCTAGTAAATATTTAGAGTTTACCTCTAACACGGAGGACAGTGAGCTACCACACAAGTTGCTGGTTTGTCCAGCAGGAGTTGCTGATGCAGGGACTTAAAACCTTTAGGTAAGAACTGAAACCAAAGGCCCTTGAGAACAGATGCTATGCTTTCTCAACCATGACTATAATAGGGACTGCTTGACTCATGTCGGGTCTTTTTAAAGCAATTCCTTGAAGTATGATGAATACACTTCTTCTTCAGCTAAGTGTATAGGGAGCATTCAACTTTAAATGGAAAGCTGTTTTTCTTTCCCACGCATAGATGTGCTTTAAATCTCTTGTACAGTGGTTCACACCACCAAATAAAAAAAGTGAGCATGAGAAACTAAGATTTGGCATTTGAACAGCACAAATAAGCCATATTTGTTTGACTCCCGGCTTTTGATCTTTTCACCTTGAGCTAACCTTCAGCGAGCTTTAAGTGTAACTACCTCTTGTAGACTTCCCTCTTCATAATAGTGCTGCTGTAGAGCTGCCAGGCTGTCAGAAACCTTATTGCTAAGCACTGTTACCAACAGCTCCCTGAGGAGATATCCTGACCTGGCTGTTTCTTTCCACTCAGCATCCTTGCCATCCTTGACACAGATCTCATCCAGCTCGGTGAACAGCTCATGGGACATGTGTTCAGCGTCCTCCTCATTGCCTAGAATGAACTGGACCCGCTGGGATGGTGTGTCTGATGATGTGTGGGAGGAAGGAGAGGTGACCTGTAGGTTCTCAAAAGACTTTCCAAAACACAACATTTCTTACTTTGTCCTTACATGCCTTTTAATGGCTTCTGAGCCCACATGTATACATACTTTAACACAGATTTGTACACATGTGCAGCATGCTGATTTGTTCCTGTTCTGTGTTAGCTAATTAGTGGTTTGTCAATTTTAGCCTGGAGTCCTGCATGTGTGAAGTGCCCACAATATTGATAGGATTTGTTTAACAACCACTACCTACTCTATGGGTGCTGGTTGTGCTAGCAAGTCACTATATGGCTCCATCTGATTGGTGAGTGACTATATGAGTCAAAATAATGCATCTAAAGTGTAAAACACTTTAAGTAATGGGTTAGCCTAAGAAAAATTCTGATGTGTTTATTTCTGTATGTGCTACCATGACTAGAACTGGTTGTCTCATGCTCCTCGCTTTGTTGTGCTGCAATGCTGCTTGCCCTTCTGTCTCTCTTGCGGTGGCGGGAACCATGACCTTTGTGGTGACGATGGCTCTGCCTGGGCATCCGGACCCCAACAAACAGAGTCCTGTGACCTGAAAACGATGCAAAAAAAAGACATGAAAAATAAAAAGATAGTATCTTTGATTATCAAGTAAACATGCGAGCATTTTAATGTCACACAGACTGTTTCATTAGTTGCACATTATTAATGCACTTTAGTTTAACTTCATTTTATCTGATGAAAAGACTGTAAGGAGTTTAGTGGATTGACAAAACAAGTAGTTATTATGCAAATAGGCTAATCCGAGATGCAAGATGTCTTCAAATGTTCTATTTTTATTGTTAATTTATTTAATAAACATGAAACAAGAAGAGCTCCCGTTAGACCAAAGAGACTCACAATGAAGAGGTTTTTGCTCCTGATTGCTGTGTGGTGAAGATTTGCAACCAAAATTTAAAACTGATGGTTATCTTGAGAGAGCTTCAGTAATTTTACAAGATTTGACCAGAGACCATCTATGTGACCTGTTTTTGTGCAATTAGTTTACTCTCTACAGGTATTTTTAAGTTTACCCACAATATTAAGAGCATTTAGCGCTTGGAAAAAGAATTATCTTCAAACACTGAGAGGAGAAAAAAGATGAAGGAATAATGTGTCCTATGATTTCTCAGCATGCAGGATAAAAGTGAAAGCCATTAAACTCAGGCATAGGTGTTAAACTCCACGGGGAAAATGAGAAAACAACACCCTTCCTGTCCTATATTAGTCTTGACTGTTGCCATCATTAATTATCATTAGTGGATTCAATTTCAAAAACAGCGTGGTGTGATAACCAAGAGACTGATTGCATGTGACACGGTATATACTGGAGCTTTATTTGAATATTAGTCTTTTTGAAAAAATAAATAAATAAATAAACAACAGGCTTACACAAATAGATTTTAAACATTTTGAGAGAATAATTCTGCATAAGACATATGAATTTTATTATTTTTGAAGGATGAGTGAACATACATGCAGGCACTCATGGACACACATTATCGATCAGCATCTGGTCAACTCAGCATAGCGTAGTGCAGGACTTCATACATTTGTTTGGTAAGCAGGAGGTTATTGGTTCATTTCCAGCCAGAGATCCAGATCCTACATTGGTCTCTTTTTCGACTTGGCGGGCAAATATGTTAACCACTACACTACACTGTTAGCATTGCTGCCTCACAGCAACAATGTTAGCAGTGCTGGGTTTGAAACTACCATCTGGCTGGGGCTTTTCTATGTGAAGTTTTCCTGCTCTTCTCATGTCTGTGTGGGCTAACTCTGGGTGCCCTGGGTTCCTACTACAGTCCGAGAACATCCAGTTAGTCGAGTTGGGTTAATTGGTGATTCTAAATTAGGTATGAGTATGTCTGTCTCACTAAGTTGGGTCTGCAACAGGCTGGCAACCCATAAGGGGTGTACTCTAAATAGTTAGCCATATGGATCTGGTGCAATGTGGATCAGGAAGTGCTCAAAGGTGGGGGCTTTGGTTGTCTGATCCCATTCTGCTGAAACTAGTTCTTGAGACATATAAGATTACTTGTATTGTGGACAAAGGACCCAAACGAGTGTGGGAGACTGATATACAGCTAGATATAATTGGGAACACCTCAGGATACAGACTGGGTGGTGGAACCGGTCTCCTGGTGAGTGGTTGGAGTATAATCCACTCTGGAGTTGCCTTCAGTGTGAGGCAGTGAGAGGGGGTGGTCAGAGGTAAAATTGGGCCACAGTGATCCAGCTGATTAAGTTTAATTAAGTTTTTTAATACAGTTTAATGCTGTAGAGCCAATATATACAGGTTGCAAAAAAGCAAGTAAACTTTTAAGCAATTTTTAGCAGATTGGAGCTTTTAGATATTGAGTTTTTATGTTCAGTTGACCACTGAAATAAAAGTTCATTTAGATAATGCACCAAAATAACAACCCCCCACCCCCACATGCCCCCAAATAAACATACATGCTTCTGTGTGGCTGCTGAGTCTTTCTAAAAAGTGGGAGTAAATTCAGCTTTTGGAAAGCAATAACGATAGCTTCAGGAAAGTGTTCTTTTATATTGTAAAATTTGGCTTACATTGTAAAATCAGAACTTGGTATCCATATCCATAAGCTTGCTGGATACGAGCTGGATGTTGTGTGGCTGTCTTGGCTGCAACCTCTGCAAGATCATGTGAAAGGTGGAAACTGTGGTCTGGGATTGGCATACTTTGGTGCTGGTCCTCCTTTTTAAGGAGGAGGGCCAAGGGACGTGTTCTAACTTGACAGGAATCACAGCTTTCCCGAGAAGGTGTGCACAAGGATGCTGGAGAGGACAGTCCATCCACTGGCTGAACATCAGATTCAGGATAAACAATACATTTTCCTTCTTTGTCGTGGATTACTGGATCAGATCTTTATCCTCTTGAGGATTTTTTTTATGTTGGGTGTCCTGCTCGGTGGCACTTCAGGACTATAGGTTAGGTCAGGTTAGGTCAGGCCTGTTGTTAAAAGGCTACGTGGTCCATGTACAACTACAGAGAATGCTTTTTTTGGTACCACTGAAAGTCATACTTGCAGCAGTACAAGTCAGACGGTCTAAAATAAATCTTCACAAAACTGTGACTGATGGATTCTTGCTGACCCTGTATTTTACACCTGGGGGCAACTTTCAACAAATCTGCAAGTTACTCACTTTCTAGTTCTTCCTTCTCATAGTGGATGTTCAGCACAGAGCTGGTTCCTCCCTGATCTACCACCACCTCCTCATCAGGCCTCTGATGGACACAGATATAAAAAAGACACTTGTAAGCATAAGGATTCTGCTTTGATTTTTTTTTTTTGGTGTAATCAATGCTCTTTGTAGCCATATTGATTCGGTGGAAATGTTGATCGTCTTCAGCCTTTAAAGATTAGGCCCTGAAAGAAAGATTTAAAGGTTATTAAGTCAAGAAGGTTGCTGATAAGGAGAAGCTATTGTCACCGCAAAGGAAGTTTTTCCACAAGAAGCATCAAATTCCTGACAGTTATTCTTAGAATGTCTGGTATGGACACATGCAGGAGGACAGGCAGGCGTGCACACTCAGCAGCACACAGACACACACACAGCAGAGGCAAAAAGAGTATAAGTGCTAGGCTCTACTGTCCTGGGGAAATCAAATCAAATTAACAAAGAGCCATTTCCACTGGTGATGAATCTGTTGGCAGACTGCTGCAGGATGTTGCTGTTCTAAGAAACAGCGCAGTTAGCTCACATGCAGTGTGTTTTTCATGGTGAGTGTATCTGACCTATGATAATAATGGCAGATTGCTCCAAGACATGTTACAAAATGTTTGGAGTAACTCTACTGCTCCATCGTATCTGTTTACAGGATGTTTACAAATATATTACCACAATGAATTTTTAAATGAAACAACTCAGATGCAGACTTTCAGATTTAATCCAACAAGATTACATAAAAATGTGAGGAACTACAGCATTTTTACACATAATCCCTTTATTTCAGGGGCTCAATAGTAATTGGAAAAATTAAATAACTGACAATAAAATGTTCATTTCTAATACTTGGTTAAATACCCTCTGCAAGCAAAGGGCCTGAACTCTTGAATTTGTGTAGATCACCAGATTCTGAGTTTCCCCACTTTTAATGCTCTGTCAGGCCTTTACTGCAGCGGCTTTAGTTGTTGTTTGTTTGTGGGCCTTTCTGTCCGAAGTTTAGTCTCAGTGTTCAGTTGGGTTGAGATCAGGTGACTGACTGAGCCATTCAAGAATTTTCCACTTCTTTGCTTTAATAAGCTCCTGGGTTGTTTAGGCTGTATGTTTTGGGTCCTTGTCCATGTGTATTATGAAATACTGCCCAATCAGTTTGACTGCACGTAGCTGAATCTGAGCAGACAGTCTGTTCTGTGTATTTTTCCAAAACTGTGTTGGATTTTTTTAGATCTTAGCAAAGTCCAATCTACCCTTTATATTCTTGAGGTTTATGAATGGCTTGCACCTTGCAGTGAACTCTATGTATTTACTTTCATGCAGTCGTCTCTTAATTGGTAGACTAGACAGGAGCCTACCTCCTGGTGAGTGTTGTTCACTTGGTTGGCTGTTGTGAAGGTGAAATGATTCTGCGATCATAAACCACTGTTGTCTTCCATGAACACTAGGTCTTTTTGTGTTGCTGAGCTCACCAGTACATTCTTTCTTTCTCAGGGTGTCTCAAACTGTACATTTTGGCCACTCCTATTATTGTAGCAATTTATCAGATGGGTTTTTTCCTGTTTTCACAGCTTGTGGATGGCTTGTTTCACTTGCATGGATCACCTCCTTAGGAGCTCATTTGACCCCATGTTGTCTATTTAAACCAAAGTCTTCCAAATGTCAGCACCACACCTCAAATCAACTGCAGGCCTTTTATCTTTTTTAATTGATAATGACATAACAAAGGAATTTCCCACACCTGCCCATTAAATAGCCTCTGAGTCAATTGTCTAGCTACTTTTGTTCCCTTTAAAAAGAGGGCGACACATGTTAAGGAGCTCAAAATCCTAAATCCTTCACACAATTTGAATGTGGATAGCCTTAAATTAAAGCTGACAGTCTACACATCATGTCTATATCCATTATATAACTATAGTTGGGATATGTTTCAGTAAACCGGTAAAAAAAAAAAACATTTGTAAGTGTCCAAATATATATGGACCCAACTAGTATAGTATGTTGTTAGTTGGAGCTATTACCAGTAAAATACATTGACAGTTGTTGTAGTTTTGCCTCTGTACACCATCACGTAGATTTTAAATTAAACAATCAAGATGTGATTGAATTGCATACTTTGATTAAAGGGGTTTTCCACAAATGTTTCCTTAACAGAATCAGACATTTTTATACATAATCTCCCATTTTCAGAGGCTCAAAATTAATTGAACAAACTAACAGGATTTTAAATGTAAAGATTATTTTATTACTTGGATGAAAATCCTTTGCAGTCAGTGACTATCTGAAGTCTACAACCCATGGATATCACCAAATGCTGTTTCTTTCCTTCATATGCTCTGTCAGATGTTTACAGCTGTTATCTTCAGTTGTTGCTTGTTTGTGGGTTTCAGTAACTGAAAAGCTGCTCTACCTGGCTGAAATCAGGTGACTGATTTTAACCCCTTTTTTTGCCTTGAGAAATTCTGGAGTTGCTTTTGCAATATGGTTTTGGGTATTTCCACTGTGAAGCACTGTTTGATCACTACGGCAGAATTAAGCTGAATGCTTTAGCGAGTACAGCCCTGTACACTTCAGAATTCATGCTGTGACTTGTGACAGTCCCATCTGGCAGCCAGACATTCCCCTGCTATAATATTGCCTTCATCGTGTTTGAAGATCATATGATACGCTTTAGATCATTACCTGTTTTTCTCATTCTCCATATGTTTCTTTTTCCATCATTCTGTGTACAAGTTCGTCTCAGATTCATCCAAAGGGTTGTTTTTTTGTCAGAACTGTGAGTGCTCTTTTAGATATTTTAGCAAAGTCTAATGTGACCTTCCTCTTCTTGAGTGTTGTTGTAAATGCTTTGTGCCCATTCATGAAGAAAACACTTGATTGTGAACTTTAATATATCTAGCCTTGGTTTTTCAGCCTAATGATGGCCTTCCTCACTTGCACTGACTTCTCTTTGGTCCTCATATTTAAAATGACAGTCAACAAGTTGAATCAACTTCAGAAATTATGTCTGTCTCCTTTGTCAGGGTGAGGAGTTAAGCCATTCGTGAAGGACTCAGAGTAGAACTGCTACTCCCTCCACATCTGGGCTCATCTTATCAGGAGATGGCCCTGGGCAGACTCAGGACATGCTGGAGAGATTATATCTCTCAGTTGGCTTGGGATGTGGTTGCCACCACAACCTTTACCTAGATAAGTAGCAGAAAATGGATGGATGGATGCATTTGTCATGAAATAACAAGGGAACAGGTCTCACCTGCTCATGAAACTTCTTGTTTGTCAGCGGGCCAATTATTTTTGAACCTTTAAAAATAGGGATATATATATATATATATATAAAAATATATAATGCTAAATGTTTGTAAACCCCTTGACATAAAGATGAACATCTGCACTTCAATCACATATTGTCCTTGTTAAGTTTGAAGTTATTTAGATCAATTTGGGGTCATCTTCCTATAATTAGGCGATGTCGGGGGTAACAACCTCACAGATGTGGTCACACTCCTCTGTGATGATTTATTATTTCAGTAGTTCAGATAACATAGCTCAGAAATAAAACTTCCACTCACTGTGACGTCTACTTTTGCTGACGTCAATATGCCTGTGACAGTGGGCACTGCACCAGTCTATAAATAAATGTAAATCGATGAAGGGATGCATGATGCCATAAATCCCTACCAGCAGCAAAATACAAACACACATGCAGACACTGATATATATAATCTGCTTTCTACACTATGCATGCTTTTGCCAACTCTGTATGCATTGTGTTTACATACTGGCAATGCTACTGTGATTGCATGTGGGTGGATGCAGAATTCTGTAGAACAAAAAATACAGATTTTTAATCGATAGCTTTAAAAACATCTGATAATCTAATTTATAGCAAAGCTGTTTTGTGAGCATTTGTCTCAACAGGTGTGCATGAGGAATACATAATTGTCATACCATATATTGAATGATGGCTGAGAGTATCTGGATAATCCATTCATTGCATTGCCTTTTAGGGGAAAAACTAAAAGGGAAACGCTGAAGACTTGCAGTGTCTCTGTCAGCAATGTTTTGCTGTGGCTGGGATCGCTGCATAATGACCACAGCAGCAAAAACAGTTGCAATATGTCTTCCCGAAAGGCTTTTGGATTGTAATATTAGCTTGGTCTCCAGCAGAGCCACTGACTCACATTTGTCAGACATACACATAAGAGCAAGAACCTGGACAATGCTACAAAGTATTCACATGAACACAATACATATGGACGATTAGCTCTTTTAATCATCTATTTGAAAATATATCTGAATGATGACTTGCTAAAATACCAGGAACTCCCTCAACTGCAAATTGTTTCAGGGTTTTCTTGCATGTGCGGCCCATTTCAAGTCTCCCAACAGAAATTCAATGGGGTTCCAAACTTTGGCTTTCACTGGGGCAGTCCCTCAATTTATTCTCTTTAGAACCATCCCTGGGTGGATTTGATGGCACGCCTAAAATTATTGCCCTGATGAAAGGACCACTTCAGAGAGATGGCCTTTTGCTTGCACAAAATGTCGAATCTGAACAAAGGAAGAAAAAAACCCATAGTATATAATTATGACCACAGTTGGATAAATATATCCTGATACATAAAGCCTGTCAGGACACAAAACTTCTATTGCACTCCAGTACCCTGTGTGTATCACTGTGTGTTATGGAGCAAGAGCTTTTTATTTCTCACAGGGTTTAACTGATAAAAACCCCACGCATGTTTTATTGCAAAAACTCAATGGTTTCTGGCTGCACTTATGAAATGTGATTTAAAAACAAGACAGTGCTGTAAGTGTGTCTGTAACTTGAAGTCCCAAAGCAGTATTTAATCTTCCACTTTCTTTAGCCTCTCCATGCTGCTAAAAATGGAACAGCTAAGCATATTAACATAAGATTCTGATAAGGAAAAAGTAATTAACATGCAGTTCAGACAGATGAATGTCTTACTCTATTAAAAGCAAAAATTCAAATCCACAACACACTTCGGTTATGTTTTATAACAGCCTCTTTCAAATGAGCTTAAAAGAAACACAATGGGTGGCCTG